TCAGAAATCATAGTGAGAAGAGAGTCACTGTATATACAGGTTCGGTGGTGTAGTGGTTATCACGTCTGCTTCACACGCAGAAGGACGCGAATTCGAACCTCGCTCGAACCTGGCGCTTACATCGCCCGTAATGGTCGGTGCTTTATCCTTATTTACTTTCAGATTTGAATCGATCGCTGTCCACCCACTTAGTCATTTGTATGTCCAGTGAGATTAAATCTTGTATAACTCAAACAAGGCTAAAGATAACCTGAATGGAAAATAGCCAAAAATAGCGGTGTTGCCATCATAATTACTTTTTATTTTGACTAGAGGAAAGAGCAATAAATATGAAAAAGTAAAGGTTCGAGCGAGGTTCGAACTCGCGTCCTTCTGCGTGTGAAGCAGACGTGATAACCACTACACCACCGAACCTGTATATACAGTGACTCTCTTCTCACTATGATTTCTGATGTGATGTACTTCGGTATATCACACTGCTTTCCTTTCACTTATTCCATTACATTGCCATGTTTACATACTAAATGTCCGGCAAGATTTGGAATTTTACAGAGGTACCGATACTAAATGTCCGGCAAGATTTGAAATTTTATTCTGTTCATATCTTCATAAATGTTCACTTTGAAAACCACTTTTTTACAGAATTTTTTACTTGTGAGGATAAGCGTTTAGGGGCACTCCCCCCTCTTTGTTTACTCTCTAGAAGAGGGGGAAGCCGATGTCGACTCGGGCTCAAATTTATACAGTATAATAAAGTATAAACAGTTCTAAGAAGAAAAGAACACAGAAGATCAAAATGTGCCCCCTAGACACGGGATAAAAAGCGTATTTGCGTACTTCTCCGTACTTTTTCGTATTTGTTAATACTTTTTTGGTGCAGGAATCAATGAGAATTAATTCATCAATCGAGTCTGTGTTACACGTGTGCGTCTTAGATTTAAAAATCATGATCGAAATATTAGCAATATATTTGCAAAAACAAGAACATCTTCAAGAGCGAAAAGTTCGATTAATGTATCGACGTTTTTTTTTCGTTGACACAGGTGTTTGTGACTCATTTGCTGAACGTTTTGATGATGCTGATGGTGAGGAAGATTTGTGCGATGAAGTAGACACTGCTGCTAACACCGGATTTGTCGTCGCTGATGGCATTGGTTGATGATGTGATGATGAGTCAACCGATGTTTTTTTCTTGTTTTTGTTTCTCATATCTTTCATGAGTGAACAGCTGGTGTCTTTCAAGTGCTTGTAATAATTCGATGATTGTAATGTGTGTTCTCTTTTTTGGGGACAAATACACTTATTACACCCCCCTCATATATCGACTATTTCAGTTTAAATAGCCTCTGCGGAGTTCACTGAGTGCATTCTTAACAGTCTCTGATCGATAGATCTATGAATCACGCTATATCGT